TTTGATAACATTTTCATTAAATTAGACCCTCTAACTCTTTCTTTTTTGCTATTTGTCTTGGTATTAAATAATGTAAAAATAATTAAAAAACTCCAATAAAAAAGAAAGAAGTCTAGACTTTTTTAAAATTTTTTTAAAATATATCACTGCACTTAATTTTTACTAAATTAAATTAAATTATAAAAGATAATTATGTACAATTTTTTTTAATATTTGGTTTATAAAAATTATTAAATGGACAAAATAAATAGAGAAAGTATGTTAAAAAAAATAGAGAAAGTAGCTTTATTTAATTTTGTACTCCTTTATCCATATGGGCCATGGGCTATTTTAATAAAACATTTCGACATTTTGATTGGACATCCCATAAAACCAGCCCAAAAACAATTGCTGGCTTGCTCTTTCCTCTCTTCAACTACCACTCTCTCTTGCTCCGTCGTCACCTTTCTGCTTTACGGGTGCTGCCACCGTAGACTCCACTTTTATGCCGTAGAGACCACCACAAGTAAGTTTCTTTCTCTTTTATTATAATTTTTTTGTTAATCCTGTATGTTTTTCTTTGCTTTTTTTTTTAAAATACTGCTTGAAACTTACTTAAAACTTTTAATTTTCCCCCCAAATTTTGGACAGTGAGGTAAGTAAGTTAATTTGATACTCTGGGTTGCAAACTTCTGACCAGGATTTGATTTTCAGCTTAGTTTTGTTGAGAAAAATGTTGAGTTTTTTTTTCTTTGTCCACATGATAAGTAACGAGGATGGTAGAATTCTAACTCCCAATCTTTGTAAACCTTCTTAGCCACTAGGTCAAGAAGTTGGGTTTCTTTTTTCACCTTAAAGACATTTAACAATTATATCATAATCAAAGTAACCTCTTTTTGTAGTTCCATCTGTCTTGAGTGTTTTGGCCATTGATTTTGAGTTGGTTTAAAAGTTTTTTTTTCCTTTTTGTTCAATTGGTTGGCTTATCTTTCACTACTAACCTCTCCATTCAATTATTTATTTTCTCTCTTTCTCAAGATAGAGTTTGAATTAAATTTGGTGTTTACTGATTATCATTTGAATTGATTTTTTTAAACTTGGAGAACATAGAATAAGTTTTGAGGTTTGATGTAGTTAGTTGTGTGATAATTTTAGAAATACAAAATTATCAGTGACAATGTTTTTATTCAATGTTGGGGTTCTTATAGGAATAGTGGTATAATTTGAGACTTTGAGTCATGGTTGTTATTTGTATTTCATTTATTATTTGACATTGGAGCTACCATTGGGAATGGTAGTGAATCTCAGGGTGATAAATGAGAAAACAAAAGAGCTCAGAGTGTTAAGTGAAAACCAAAGGGGATGTTGGTGGAGTTTCATTGTATATCGATTATATTATGCATTTGTCAAAGTAAATTTATTGATTACTAGCAATGGTCGAAGCTTTGGATTTCGTATACAAAATTTTGAAATATGATTAACTCTTGAAATCATTTTAACTTGTTCATGTTCTTTTTTGTTGCACTTCTTGTTATTACCAAATCTGCTGTGTGTTAATGTTGGTTTGATGTAGTCTAGGCAGTGTTTACTGGAGCGAGTAAGAAATGAGCGCTTTCAATAAGTTCAAAGCTAGTGTTCCCATTGCATGGAGCCCTAACCTTTATATAACCCTTGTGAGGGGAATTCCGGGCACCAGAAGGCTTCACAAGCGCACCTTGGAGGCATTACGCCTACGCAAATGTAACCGCACTGTCATGCGGTGGAACACACCCGCTGTCAGGGGAATGCTTCAGCAGGTATAAGACCCTTTATTTGATATTTGTTGGATCATTATTTTCCAGAGTGTTAAGTGCTTTTGTACTTAAATAAAAGAAATACAGTATAAATTTTAGGTTCTGCTGTTTGAAGTTGGTTTTTGATTTAGGTGCTTTATGTATAGGTGAAAAGCTTGGTTGTGGTTGAAACAGAAGAAATGTTTAAGGCACGCAAAGAGAATGAAGCCAACCGCCGAGCACTATGCCCCCTATTGTCATTAGTCATCTCTCAGCTTCTGCAACTGACTTCTCTAAGCTGCATTAGAAGTACTAAAATAGCTAGGTTTCCATCTCTGATTTAGTACGAATTATTCCCAGACTTATATTTTTTGTTCTTTGAAAATATAATTTAGTAAAAATGGTGAAGCAGTCTAATTTCAGCGTATCGAAGTCTTTTGTTATCATATGCAAGTGCTTTACTCATAATTAGTTATGGTGCTTTCGATCATAGATTCTTAAAATGTGTAGAAACCGGTAATTATAAGTTTATGCTTTTTTTCTTAAAGCCTACTATTAGTTTTGTGTAAACTTTTTCGGGATTGTTTCAAGTTACAGCTAAATGATAACATCAGTGCTTGGTAGAGATTAAAGCTTTGTTAGGTGATGCATTCTTCTACTTCTAACATGTTAATCGTAGCCTAAAACACTTATAATTGTCTCATGTTCACTTCTTTTTTCCAGCTTTCTCCTGGAAAATTCCCAGGTTTCTTTTCTCAGTCTTATTTCTCTCCCTCTCTATGTAGTCTCGATAGTGATTACAACATTTTTGCTTTGGCATTGATACGACATTCTGTTTTGTATTTTTTTTTCAAGCTTTTAAGATTTATTTTCTATAAGAATTGAGTGAGTGCATTTGTTTCTTTCTTTAGTAATTTTCAAATTGATTTGACTATTACAGCGTTGAGCTAACTGTTGAATATTTTGGATATGTTTGGTTCTGTTTCAAACATTTTGCATTCGGCAAAAACGGATCAAAACTAAATCACATGTTATCAATGAAAAAGGAGTGATGCTCTCAGAATTTATACTCGTATTTCTTTTGATTGCAAACGGGGTTGATTGTGTTTCTAAAGTTTGAATAGTTCGTTTGTAAAGCTTAAGTTTGAGTTTCGTTACAAGTAGTTCTCCTTAATGGACGATTTGTAAACCTACTTCTCTCCTCAGAATGGACAAGTATTTTCTTCTGTCTAAAAGTATTTTAGCCAAAAAGAAATATTTTATTGTTAATATCATCGTGGGTGTATATATATATATAGTTACCAAATAAGATTGGGTTCATAACACTTGTAGTCCATAAATTTTAATCTAAATTTTATTTTGATCATTAAATTTTAAAAAAATTTTAATCCAATCTTTAATCATCCAAAGTTGTCTTATTTTAGTTATTCTATCTATTGAATCATTTAAATTGACGACAAATGTCATTTGACATTGCGTGATAACATCAACAAATATTTTACATGATAAACAAAGGATCAAAATAAAATTTTATGAAAGTTTAGGGACTAAAACAAAATTATCTAAAAATTTTATAAATTTTATATATGTATTTAATAAATTATTAAATTTAAAATTATATTTTTATATTTTTTTGTTGTAATATAATTTATTAGTTATATTTTTATTTTTAATAGAAAATAGTTTTTTAAAATTTAAAATTAAGTTAAAAATTCAAAAAATATATTTAAAAAATTATTGAATTATTTCAAAATTTTAAATTTTAAATGGAAAAACCAATTTAGATTTAAAATAATTAAATAGATATAATTTTTTTATAACATTTTATTTAAATAAGTAAAATTAATTCTTATTTTTTGTTTATAGATTAAACAAATTTATTTAAAAAATCATTGGTTATCCAAATCATTTTAAGGTATCTTTATTTGAGAATTTTTTAATTATTCAAACTTTTTCTTTCAACCCAAAAAAATCATCTTCATCTATCAAATATACCTTTAAATATATCTTAAAGGCTATATTACAAGTAAAAATTATAATTACAGTCAAATATTTTCAACATAGTATATATTCACACTAAAAATTAGTAAAAGACAAAGCAATCAAATAAAACAAATATAAATTGATTTGAATTACAATCCCATGAGATGAGACTTAATTAAATATGATTTTTTTATTAATCTAAATCAAAGTGTGTATATGAGCTCTTTAGAATATACATGAGTTTTTACTGAATTACAAAATCAAAAAAGAATTAGATGGATATAAAATAAAGATTATTGTACCATAAACTGAAAATGACCTCAAGAATGGTCAAAGAAATTAAATAATTTATTTTTAAAATGTTCATCAAAATTTTACAATAAATATGCACTACTTATTTTTATTTTATAATAATCAGGGCAATAATATATTTTTAAAATTAATCTTTTAATAATTTAAATATATATTTTCACTCAATTAAGTAATTTATTTTTTTTCAACTAAGTTTTTTTTTGTCATATATTATTATTACAAATAATAATAATTAATTAAAATATTTAAAAATCATATTATATATAATATAAGTGGCCCATGAATTATTACTTTATATAAAAATTTGTAATCTTATATACTTCCTCTTCTTCAAAATGATAATATTCATTTTATTTATAAAAATATTAAGATAAATGAAAATCCAATTTCATTTCTTATGGAAGGGTGCAAAAGTAGGCTCAATGGCTTAAAATTTTTCCTTCCTCATTCCTTAAAAAATCTTCTATATCGTTTAGAATTTAGATGGTTTTTTCTTTTAATATTATTTATCATATATTTTAAATTTTATTAATTTTTAATTAAAAATTTTATTTTTATCATGATTTTTATCTTAATTATATTATTTACATTCTACATATATTTTGAATATATAAATAATTAAATAATTTTAATTTTAATTTTAATTTTATTTAAACAAAATAAAAATAACTCATGGATAACAAGTTAATTTAATTTAATAATATAATATAATTTAATTATTAATTTAAAAATATTTAAATATTTTGATATTTTACATTTAATATTATTTTAAAAATATAGTTAGCAAATATAAATAATAATAAAGTAATTAAACATTTTTCGGCCGGAAAGGAGTAATAGTCAAGTATAAATGAGGGATTTGTGTTAAATTAAAATGCACCTAATTATTCTAAAATATTTTGAAAATCTTGTAAAAAGAAAAAAAAATCTAAAATAAAGTTTACTTTCAACGTATTTATAAAAAAAAAAAAAAAATATCCACCGGAATCCAATTCCCAAAATCCAAATTAAACGCTAGCAGCGGGCTTCCTCTCTCCTAACTTACATCAAGCTCTCCATTTTTGTCGCTATTAACTCTACTTTCTCAAAATAAAGTTTACTTTCAACGTATTTATAAAAAAAATATATATATATATATATATATTCCACCGGAATCCAATTCCCAAAATCCAAATTAAACGCTAACAGCGGGCTTCCTCTCTCCTAACTGCTCTCAATTTTTGTCGCTATTTACTCTACTTTCTCAAAATAAAGTTTACTTTCAACGTATTTATAAAAAAAAAAAAATTCCACCGGAATCCAATTCCCAAAATCCAAATTAAACGCTAACAGCGGGCTTCCTCTCTCCTAACTTACATCAAGCTCTCCATTTTTGTCGCTATTCACTCTACTTTCTCAAAATAAAGTTTACTTTCAACGTATTTATAAAAAAAAAATATATATATTCCACCGGAATCCAATTCCCAAAATCCAAATTAAACGCTAACAGCGGGCTTCCTCTCTCCTAACTTACATCAAGCTCTCCATTTTGGTCGCTATTTCACTCTACTTTCTCAAAACCCCATAGGCAGGGGCGTAAACCTAGGCGGATTCGCCATGTCATCGTTACTCGAAACATGCAAGCTTTTAGACCAAAGCTCCTCGGCTCTATCCACCATCGCCGTTGCAGTTGCCGCCCTCTCCTGCGAGGCCGCGAGGGCCAACTTATCAGCCTTCGACTTAAGCGATTCCGGGGATGGGTCCGTCGCCAAAGACGACATCGGAGTCGCTAGCGACATCAAAGTTTTACTCAACGGCTCCAAATTGGTAGCAAGTTCTAACAACGGAGATGGTAAAGTTAACATTAATTCGTTTTCTAAGATTCCTGTCTTTAATGGAAATGTGAGGGAAGCGGTTAAGAGTTTGCATTCTGTTATTGGGGTGGTTACGAATTGGGATGAGAAGTTCGGGGGGAAAGTTTTACATTTGGGGTTTGAGTTAAGGAATCTTGGGGAGAGTAGTTTGGAAAGAGTGAGATTGAATTTGGGTTCAGTTGGGTTCGAGGGTGTAAAGGACATTTTTGAAAAGGATTGTTTAAGTGAGGAAAGTTTGAGAAATGGGATAAAACTGGCTGTGGAAGCAGGGCTGGAGAAAGATTACGTAAAGTTGGTGAAGGAGGTGGATTTGATTTTGGGGATTGTGTGGAAAATTGTTGCCTGGGAGGCTGTCACCGCATTTTTTGTTCTTGAAGGAGCGGAGGTTTTGAATGAGAAGAGTGGTGGAAAAGGAGGAGAGGCTGATGGAGGGAATGTAAAAGCAGAAAGGAAGAGGAAGAAGAAGGTTTTTTTGGGTAAGGGAACTAGTGTTATTGTGGAGGTGCTTAAGGATAGGGTGATGAGTAAAGGAGAGGGGTTAGAGAAAGTAGTGGAGGAGCTATTATCATTTTTGGATCCGAAAAGTCCGGAGTTCGATGGTTTTTTGAAGAAGGTGAAGGAGGTTTTGGAGAGCAATGAAAGTAGAAGAATCCCCAAGACTCCTAAGGTAAAAGCTAAACCATAATTCTTGTTTACTTTTACCTTCAGCCATAATTTGTTAAAAGTATTGTTTAAAACTAGAAGTAGAGCAGTTGCTTGTTGGTTGGTTTGTTTTTATTGATATCATAAACATCAAGAAAAGGGAAAAAAAAAAAGAAGAAGATCCATATCATTATAATGCTATCATCTTATGCCTTATTCTTCAGTAGAGTGTTTAAGTGTTCTTAGCTTTTGGTTTTAGGGTACTCGTGATTTTGCTAAAGTGCAAATGGCGATAAGAAAGAAAGCATTTTCTGTTATAACAAAGGTTTTCGAGAGGCATTGTGCCACAGCCCTGGATACTCCTGCTTTTGAATTGAAGGAGACCCTTACTGGTAAATATGGGGAGGATTCGAAGTTGATCTATGATCTTGCAGATCAGGTTAGTAAGTTAGCATTGGTTCGGTCAAATGAAGTCATATTTTCTTTTGGGCATTTACTTTTTATTTAGAAAAATTTTCTGATCAGTGATCTAGAAATTTGTTGATTATGGCTGTTCCATTAAGAGAAATGACAAATATGGTTTATGTAGTTACTACCACTGACTGTTTGTTAATATCTGTTTACAGGGTGGAGAGCTTTGTTCTCTAAGATATGACTTAACTGTTCCATTTTCTCGGTATGTGGCCATGAACGGTCTCACATCATTTAAAAGATACCACATAGATAAGGTTTGGAGAAGGGATAACCCGTCTAAAGGGAGATATCGAGAATTTTATCAATGTGATTTTGATATTGCTGGCCAATATGAAAAGATGGGACCAGACTTTGAGGTTGTTAGAATTTTGTCTGAAGTACTCAACGGACTAAATATTGGCGACTATGAGGTAAATCGTCATTAGTGGTATGGAATATTTAGTTTCTTGATGTAACTAATGTGACCTCTCATGTTGTTGGATTGTGATACTAAACTTGCTATTTAGTCAGATGCTCCTATAATGGCTGTTATACGTGAATTTGACATTTTGCATTATACTAACTCCTTAATAGCATAATAGCCTGGCAGTTATATTTGATGTTTCATATTTTCAATTTCTGTACAGTTGGTTAAATGTAGGAATTCATTTTCTCTAGATAGTGTAAGTCTTGATGGCAAAGGCACATTATCCAGGCATATTTGTGGCATTATGCTTTTGGCCCCTTTACTGTTATCTTGTGGTTCTAAAGATTGCTTAAAGTGCTTCCAACTTGGTTAATTTCCTTTTATTTGCTTTTGACAGATAAAATTGAATCACCGTAAGTTGCTTGATGGAGTGCTGGAAATCTGTGGTGTGCCACCAGCAAAATTTAGAACTATTTGTTCAAGTATTGACAAGCTAGATAAACAACCCTTTGAGCAAGTTAAAAAGGAAATGGTGAGGACCAACCACAGCCTCTAAATCTTTGTGCCGCTATCTACAGCTCTTAAAAAAACAGCATAAATATACCACTGTTCAATTATTTAACATTGATATATAAATTTATATCATACTAAGTGTTATTATTCCTATAAAAAATTTGTAACAAAATTTTGACACTTATTGATTCAATACTCATTTTCGCAAATATAGTTGATTGGGTATAGGCATTTCTCAATAATGTATGTTAATACATTCAATGTTGATCACTCATAATTGGATGCAAGAATTTGTCTGTTTAATTGCTGTCAAAAGTTTGAATATTTCTAAGCTTTGCATGCTAGCTCTTTTGTTCAATGTTCATTCATGAATCTTATGTTCTGCCTTGCCGAGGCTAGAAGAAGTGTGCCAATTACCTAAAGCATAATCCTGTGGCTGTGTGGATGTGGTTTTCATTTATGCACTTATTATGTTCTACCGGAAAGTGCGTAGTTGGAAAATTAGAAATTTGTCAAATTTTTCTTTTTATATTACTGGATAAATGATTTATGTTGCATGTATCTTGATTTTGAGTTAGCATTGTCTTAGATGATGGTTTCATTTTGAATTATTATATATTTCAAATTATTACTTGATAGGTGGAAGAAAAAGGGTTATCTGTTGAGACAGCAGATAAAATTGGAACTTTTGTGAAGATAAGAGGACCTCCTTTAGAATTATTATCAAAGATTATGGGAGGAATTGAGGGTAGTGAGCTTCTTAAACACGATGCCTCCAAAGAAGCATTAGGTGACTTGTCAGTTTTATTTGAAGCTCTGGATAAATCAAGGTGCATAGACAAAGTGGTTTTTGATTTGAGTCTTGCCAGAGGTCTTGACTACTATACTGGAGTCATATTTGAAGCTGCTTTCAAAGGAGGAGTACAGGTAAATATTATTTCTATCTCAGGGTTATTAAAATGTTTTGCCTATATATCTCTCACGTGAATTCTATACTATGCTTCTTTTGATTTGTGTTAAGAGCTTTATGGTGGGCTCTAACCGTATTGCTAAAGTGTGAACTTCTATGATACCTTTTTTAGAATTTTGGAGTTTGGAATGATATAAATGACATAGATTTGCTGTTTGATAGATTTGACTTACTGGTTTGAGGGCCACTTTGCACATATTGAGTCTTTTCCTCTGCATGGTAGTGGCTTTGGTTCCCTGCTTGTGTGAGCATTTATCTATTAAACTCACTGAGCTGTAATGATTCATATGCTGTAAATTTGTGTGCCTCTGTTGTTGTGATATAGCCTAGTTTCCCTGTTATTTTCTTTTAATAGCTTCTAACATTTGGAAGTAGGTTCTTTTAATAGTAGCAATCTGTTGTAAAATTTGTTGTGCACATAGCATTTGGGGCAGGCCCTACATAAGCCAAGGTGAAACTTGCAAAGCCATGCCATGTAACATATTACTTGGCTGATCTATCAGTTATTAGTTTTAGGGGCTTTAAAATCATGCATCATAAACTAGGACTGAGGCTGGGTGATGTAGAACAAATAAGTAACAACCCAGAATAATAACATTCAAGAAAATAGTCTGAAAATCTCAGTTGTATAAGTCAAATCTCAATAATCAAAACCTAAATTCCAAATCAATAAAACCTCTATGAAGAAATACATACATATATGTATATATATATATATATATATATATACAAGGGTGTTCATTCGGTCAGATCGGTTAATTTTGAACCATTTAGTTTATTTTATTTTCATTAATCAAACCGAATTTATTAGTTTCAAAAACTAACCAACCGAATTTAATTCGGTTGGTGTAGTTAATTTTTTGGTTAACCAATAAGCCTTAATATCGTAAAGCTCCATACCTTAAATTAGAAAAAAAAAATCCCCAGTCTCTCTTTCTCCAAAACCCCAATAATAACCTAAATTTGAAATGCCGTGGCAATGATCTCCCAGCTTTCTATTTTGATATTGCAATATGGCTAAGATTCTGTTCACTCTGCTGCATTGTGGTAAGGTTCGTGATCCACTTTCCGGTTTTGATACAACTCTGCTGCAATGGGGCTTGTTTACTTGTTCTGTTTTGGTATGATTCAAGTAATATGATTTTGTTAGCCAAAAAAAGAAAAAGGAACCTTTTTGAAGCTAGGGCTTTGTAAGAGATGGAGGGGGCTTAGGATCTAGCTTTTGTAGGTGAAACTTGACGAAGATAAGGTTTTGCCAACCAAGATATTGAGGAAAATAAAGGGAATAATTTGAAGCAAAATGTTTTTGATTTGAATGATGAGCTGTAAGTTTCTTCTTTGATGATGTGGGTAATCTAAAAGTTGGTGAATTGAATGGGAATGTATATGTACTGTGTGTGAAGGACTAAAGGGAGGCAGAAAAAAAAAATAAAAAGAAATTAGTGCAGGTTCATTCTATTATATTTGGAATAATTGTTCGATTTTTGAACCAAATTAACCGAAAACTGAAATTTGTACAAAATTATTTTCGCAAATCAACCAAACTTAATTCGGTAGCTGACTGTTTAATTGAATTAATTTGGTCTGGTTTGTTAATTTGGTTAAAATCGAATTTTGAACACCGTTATATATATGCTTCATCAACCTGGGTTTTAAGCCCATGGAAAATAAAGCCTACCTAACTACCATTTGTCCAAAACTTGCAAGAATGTCACTCATAACTTGACCTTTAGTAACATGTAATTTTTAGGTGAAAAATGTTATAGAAAGACGAGCAAGTGGATGATATGATCTCATCTCACTTTATCACAATTCATCCGTAAAATATGGCACCTACATTATTATTGTGATGGAATAACTCTCTTCTTTTATTGTGTTGGTTGTTTAGCTGCCCCTTGAATGATATGATTGACTTCTTTTTATATTCAGGTTGGTTCAATTGGTGCTGGTGGACGTTACGACAATCTGATAGGAAATTTTGGCACAAAGCAGGTTCCAGCTGTTGGTATGAGTCTTGGGATTGAGCGAGTATTGACTATAATGGAAGAGAAAGCACAGAACCAGGTGATTTTTATTCCTATCTTGTTTAGCATATATCCATAGAATCTATCTGTCATATTGAGTGCAAATTTGTATTTGAAATTTTTATTTCATGGCCTTTGTAGCTGTGTGTAAGCATGAGTTATGTCAGTCAAAGTACCTCACAAGTCCCTCCACCATAATGAAAAGAGTGATTTAGTCCCTCTACCTCAAACTTGAGCAATTTAATCCTAGTACTTTTACTTTGGAAACAATTGAGGACAATTGCTAACACCATTCAATAAGTGCATTAATTATGCTGATGTGGTGTTGATGTGTAGTACTTTTGTTAACAAATGAATAATGTGTATTTTATATAGTATTTTTTATGCTGACCTCAATTTTTTAATAAAAATTAAACTTTGATATTTTGTAATTATCTTTTTTTTCATTTTTATTTTACTATTTTTTATTCACCTTTTTCTCTCATTTTCTTTCTTAATTTTCTCTTTCTTGTTTGATCAGATCAAAACAATGTATTTTTTATTATTCTTTTCTTGTTCGATAAAGTCAAAACAATTGTCTTTTCATAATGGTTTAAGCATTTTAGCCATATATCTTATTCTTATAGCAATTACCTGCTTGCAAGCATTAAAACAATGGGCACACACAGCCTCCATAAAAAACTCCAATAAGCGAAAAGAATAAGTATTAATAAAAGAATGAAGAATCATAAACGAACTCCAAGATATGTACATAGAAGAGTTCTGATAAGAAACACTTAAAATACAGAAATAATAGGAACCCAAAGAGCTGATCTCAAAATAAAATCTACTAAAATGTTGACAGTTGAAGAAAAGGTGAGACAACGAAAATGACAGGGTGACCTTGGTGCTAACAACCTCTCCCTCACCCTAGCTATTACTACTGTTCCATTCTCTTAATAGCTCTGCATAGTCAACACTTTTATCATTTTCTTGATATTAATTATTTGTCCTTTTTGCTTTTGGAGATTAAGAGTTATTTTTGAGAGGCCTTTCTTTCTAGGAAAGAAGGCAAAAGCAAGAAAGAACCACTGGGTAGGGGAAAGGAAGGAAGAAAGAAGAGGGAGAAAGAGAGAGAAAGAGAAAGGGGTTGCGTAGGGCTGAAGAAAGCTGCTTTTTACCAGATCTGACTCTCCATGGCTCACCAGCCTTGATCGGTTGGCTGATGAGCCAGTCTGGTGCCAATGGAAGCAAGGTAGCGGAGAGGATGAAATTGATTGAGAAAGGGAAAACGAAGAGAAAACGATTGGAAAAAAAAGGAGAGAAAAAGGTAATTAAAAAGAAAGTCAAATAAAAATAATAAAAAAGATAATTTCAAATTTTATTTTGCTTTAAAAATCCATGTCCACATAAAAAATAATGTATACACATCATTGACTTGTCTGCAAAAATATTACATCAATGCAATGTTAGCATAATTTGCACAATTATTGGATGGGATTAAGAATTGTCCTCAATTATTTTCAAATTTGTGAATAGAAAGATTAAATTGCTCAAATTTGAGTTAGAGGGACTAAATTACTATTTTTACTATAGTAGAGGGACTTGTGAGGGACCTGTTTACACGCCAGACTTTTTTTAAGTCACCCTCCCTCTCAATGTTGCTTGTTCCTTTTAAGTTTCAAAAGTGCATTGGTGATTACTGGTAGGAATTATACATATCAAGGAAAAAAGATTTAATTTATCTATTCTTATAAATAATACGTTCATCTAATTTTGATAGGTAGTATGTTCAAGTGTATGATAATTTCAAATTGTGAAAAATATTGACTGGGCGGAGGCTTTAATTGTTATGTCAAAAGAATGATAAGGTTGGAAAGTTATCCTTCTAGTCTTAATGATCAGATGGTGAGGTTACTCTTGTATTGCAAGGATAATTTTGTCATTTCATATCAAAATAAGTTTTTGGGGATCAATCATAAGTTCACACATCTGCTGGTAAAGCCCACCAAATATGGATAAAAGACTAATTAAATGGGTACAACCTCTGTTTACTCCTTCAGACTGCCTTACCCAAAGTCTGACTGGTCATGTAGGTCTAGCACTTCGGGGGTCAAGCTTGAATTAACTTGTGTAGTTAACTAGTTATCCTGGGTAATGATAGGAATTCAAACTGACTGCCTGCATCCTTTTCTTTGTTATATTTTTCCACATTCTGTGCTGAATCTATCATCTTGGAAATAAAGAAATCTAAATTTTGCATACTCACTTGTGTATGCATTATGTCATGCAGCTTTATAATATGTGGTCTTTTTTCCTTACCTGGACATTTCTCTCAACTATTTGAACAACAGTCAATTATGTTAATTTCTCTGATTGAGAGCTGTGCTGAAAGATTTTCTTTTAGTTCCATGTATCATTTTACTTTGCACAGGTTACATGGGATTTGCTTTCCTCTTTGGCCTTCTTTTTTCATAGACAAATGTGTCAGAGTTTTATGTTCGACTGTCTTCTTCCTACCATCTTTCCTTTCTGCTTTTCCCTTTCCCTAAACTTTGTGTTAGATGAATTATTTATTCTGATTCCTTATAAATTTACAGTCCTGTGGACTCAAGTTGTGATTCCACTCTGACTATGTGGAATGCTTTGAAAACAGAATGATTGTCATAATTATATCTTCTCTTAGTAATAATGATTATAATAACTATGAATTCTGTGAGCACTCATATGTTGTGCTAGGGACTAATGTACTTTTTTTGGTGACCGTTGGCAGACAGTCCGAGCCACAGAAACCCAAGTATTGGTGGCTGTTCTGGGTGATAAACTCTCTGTAGCTGCAGAGCTGGTTAGTGAGCTTTGGGATGTAGATATTAAAGCAGAATACAAGGTCCATAAAAAGATGATGAAGCACATTGAATATGCTATAGACTCAAAGATTCCATGGATGATTATTGTGGGTGAGCGAGAGCTGAATGAAGGGATTGTGAAGTTGAAGAACATTGAGACCACCAATGAGGAAGTGATTCCTAGAAATAAACTTGTTGAGGAACTACAGCAGCGGTTGAACCCATGAAAAGTCTCCCTCCTTTCCGATCTAACACGTAAAATTTTCTTAATGTTTTTATTTCTGAACATACATATACTTTAGGAGTTATGGCAAATGAATATGTTGTGGGGAATATGGTCTTAATTTTATGTGAAAGTGAGAAAAGGTTCCATGATTTTACCATATAGAGGCTGTTTGGTTCGGCCCATCATGGATGCTTTCTGAAAATAGTATCCTTTCTTCAAACCCTCATAATGAAGCAAATCTCGTTTTGGTGTAAGAAATATGAAAGTTTGTTCTAGTTGAAATAATTAATGTGGTTGTATTGGTGGTTCAGTAATCTACTGCTTGAGGCTAAAAGCTATTTATAGTTGATAGCAACAATGATGTCATTGCTTACTTGTTATGTTCTCCTTCCTACTTTCTTATGAAACGTCAGAATGGTCAATTGTAAAAAGCTATCAAAATGGCATGAAATTTCACATTTGGGATTTTCAAATGCAACATGGAAGGCTGCAAACCCAGTTCGTTGCTTCCTTACGTTTTTCCTTGCAGACCAAAGTATAAATTGTCTCCTATGTTATCCTGTTTTAGTTTTTTTTTTTTTTTTTCCAATCTTATCCCTTGTGCTAAGTGGCAATATATAGCTGTGGATTTCCTATGCTTTTAAGGATGTTTGATGGTTGCTACAATAGGCCTACTTCGGCTGTTTTCAAGTCCAGATGAAAAGGCTTTATATTGTTATTGTTTTGGCCCAAGCAATAAGCTTGGGGCATCCTTCCTCGGCCTCTGATGAAATTCCCCCGGCTCTAAATAACACCGTACAACCCACTATAGTCTCTCCCAAAGTAGACCTCGTACCCAAGCAAGTCTTCAATTAAAAATTAATGTCATTTATGTTGTCGAGTTCAAGTCACTTATCATTAGCTACAAACTTTATTGATGAAAGTTAGTGATTTAGATCTAAATAGTTATTATTTTTTATTTGGAGCTTGATGAATTCTTCCAAATTATGGAAATCATCAAGCTGCTAATTCACTCACCGACGGGAAAATGAAGCAAGAATACAAGCAGAATAGACTTGGTTAACCATGTTAAAAATGCGAAATCGTAAATAATGAATAAGAATCCAAAATAACAAGGGAACCTCATTGTTTTCCTCCCACTGCTATAGAAACAGCACCATTTCGGTTTTCTATGGTTACTATCTATCTTTCAGTTACAGAAAGGTTTGAACAACCAAAGTGAGAACTTCCAAATGAAAGGCAGCAAACCCAACACATACTTCACCAGCAATTAGGCCACTTCTTTGCATTGAAAAACACAGTTCAACTTGGCCAAACGTCCAGATAATGAAAAAAGCCATCATTTGAAAGAAATGTTAATATGCGATTACCGCTTCTGTTTGCATTGCGTAAAGACATGAAGTAAAATGTGACAAAGAGAGGCCACTACCTACAATTGGTGAATATCATCATTCTCATGCTTTTAGAGCAGCTTTGTGAACCATGGTTTCTTTGTGTATTTGGTGGCAACTCTTCTCGACAAGATCAAGAAGTTTTTCCAAATTCACAGCCCATGAGTTGAGAACTTCATTGCTATCCTTTGCTACCTGGAAACAGACTATTCCCATTGGTCTGTCAATCTTTGCCACCAGTGCCTTGGATACAACCATTTCAGAAAGATGCTTCTCAGCTTCCTGGATTGAAAGGATCAGTTAATTAATCAGGATGGAAACAGCATGGTAGCATGTGAATCTTTTTATTTTGCATTTCAAACAAAGGTCTAGGTAAGTACCGACAAGATTTGTCGTGAACAAAGATAGAAGGGGGGAAAACACATAAGCAATCAAACCTGGATAGTCAGACACAACAACTCAGCAAGTCTCTTCAAGGTAATCTTTGAGTAGTACTTTGAAACAACAAGGATATTCTGAAAAGCATCAAATTGGTTGCAGTGAGAAATTGGTAAGAAATTAATGAGTGAACAGAATCATATAACAGGAGGTTGGCAAATATACATGCTCAATAATCCTGTGTCTCAAATCTTCTGCAGCTTTGTCAGCCAAAGAGCCTCCAAGCATGTTCCTTTCATTCTCAAATTCATCCTTATAAGAATTCCAAAGGGATGTCCACTGGATAACTTCCATTGTAACTAACTGTTTCAACAGCAACCTATGACAGAAGATTAAACAAATGTAGTCTAAGATAACACAACATGTGATAAACAACCTACCTAGAGCTTGACATATTCTCAAGTACTAAATTCACCAAAGACGAACCTAAATTTTGGAATCTCAGAAAGATTCTTATCCTCCAATGTGGAATTAAGAAGGCTTGATTGCATTGGATCATGTGGGGCCAGGATTAAGTACCAACAGATTTTTCTCAAGACCTGCAAGTAAATATTTATGAGAACAGCTCAACAGAACTTCAACAGGGTCTAAATTGAGATGTGCTTTTACCGGTATCCACTGAGATGGGTTTTCCCTGATGGATGGAATCTCATATATTGCCTTATAGCATCGGCAAATTTCAAGGTAGTCATTGTCATGAAAGTAATACCTACAGAGATAAGGAAAACTGATGAGTAAGATAGATCCACCCACATATTAGCAAAGAAGACGGTTCACAAAACTGATTTAACGTTTAACAACTTTGCTGTTGGTTGGGTCTTTATAGTGAAATGGGGATGGCTAACATTTATTTTTAAGTTGCTTAGTATAATGGTAGGTCAGTTCAACTACAAAACCCAAGGAAAACACCATGATTCTTAGTCCTACATCGAATAACCGACAAATAACTCTTTTACATCCAATATCAGTTTGAGAATTTTTAGGATCTACTTTTCAAATAACCATAGGCTATGTTAATTGAATTTATCTCCAGGCTTAAGTTTCCATGAAAGATATGGATTTCTAGCCCAAAAACAGTAGAAGAATTTTTTTTTTTCCCCTCATGTTGTAAAATAAAGATCAGACCTTCCACCATTCAATATATGTGAAAAAACAACCAACAGAAAGAAACATTCACTGTACTCTTTTGCAGATATCATCTTCAAAAGAAATGCCATATGAAGCAATTTAACTTGAGGTCTTTTCTATTAACAACTCACATCAGGATACTTACAAGCATTGGATGGAAGGTGCATGTAACTTAAGGAGACCACTCAAATATTCAACTTATATAAAGATCAAATTTCCAACACAAGTAAAGCACATTCCAACTATTCCAATTACTTGGAAGTATGTTGGATATTTGATAAGACAACCACACAGAAAAACCAAGTTGAGAAAAGAGTTTCCACATAGCAATATCTTTTTCCAAAATAAAAAATAGGTTTCCCAACCCCCACCTTCACCCAACCTCCCTCACCCACCCACCCCCCCACCCAAAAAAAAAAAAAAAGGAATAAGGATCTTAACAGTCATGGCATTAGGTTCTGAGATTGTGCTTAGAAAGCAGACATACTTGTCTGACTAGTATTTACATCAAATTAATGCCATTCTAAGAGAAGGAAATAAAAATTGTTCAAGAACCTTTAAACCTCATAATAACAATTAGCAAAACTCAATCAAGAAGGTCACAAGAAAATTGAGCACAGACAATGGAAGATACAGAGCAAAGGGGGGCCAAATACCGTATCATTAGTTCATAGTAGATTTGCTTCAACTCCAATAGTGAAGGTATATCAGCAGGAGGCTCCTCTACAACATTGTCCCCTTCTTTAGGTTTCTTCTTTTCCTTTGAAGTATCAGCATCAAATGCTCTAGAGCTAATCTTCCTTGAAAGAATTTGAGCACGAACATAATCCTGGCGATCTAAGCAAAGGCGAACCTGTAATGTTTAATTATTGACAAGTTGACATAATTATTATTGAAATCTTAATCTAAAAGATACAATAATATTTTTTTTAAAAAAAGGCAATGATCAAATACCTGTTCAAGAATGAAGGCAATTTTCTCAGTTTTTGCCATGGCACCAAAAGTTTCCACCTGCAGTTCAAGCCAATCAGATATGAGCAAAAGGGGATAAATGGAAAGATCCACAAAAGCTATCATTTTCTTATAAAGGAAACTTACTGCAACTTCCTGCATTAAATCTGCAGCTTCAGCAATAAGACCTTGTTCTTCTTTAATCTTTGCAAGTTTCTTGATCAATCTTGCTCTCTCAATTTCAACATAAATCTACATAGGAAATAAGTTAGTTTAGACAAAAGGTTGCAAAAATAAACAGATCACATAAAATAACCAGAGATTGTAACACAGAGATTCACCTTTCCAGCAGACACACTGTTCAGGGTCTTGATGAGCTCTATACGAGTTTCAATATCTGGTGTCTCATCAATGTATTGCATTGCTTGCTGAACCATTGCAGTCACTGCCTGCAGAGTGTAGATAAATAAAGAGCTCCATTAATAATATTAACACTGATAGAATATAACCTCCTATGAGTTGTTCTCATAGTAGACAGAAAATTTTAACAAGGATATGAGAAGACTGAATCAAATGGCTGTAGCAGTACGTCAAAATTTCTGGCAACTCTATTTTACAATACTACAAAAAGGAGGGGAAAAAATCAAAATTTAGGACGCTCGATGCTGAGAATAAGATCTAAACTTTACTCAAATGTTCAATCCATGATGTGATTTCAATTTGGTTCAGTTAAGGCTTTTTACCTAATAATTTCAGTTTATCCTATGGTTCTAACTTTGATATCTATAACTGTTAAAATAGTTACTTTTTCTGATTAAGATTAGTAAGAATCAGATAAATCTGAGGAAAATAACGGAAACTATGAGGAAAATATTAGAGGTGACAAAATGAAATTTTATTTGTTTAGATCTGTTCAATTGTGGAATGTTCATTGCCAGATACATCCAAAGAGCTATAGAAATAGAAACATTTGTTCTGGGGATTTACAAAATTGAAAAGAAAGGTAGAAGAGTTTTCTTTTCTCTTTTTAAGACTCTGGTATGGTTTGTTTTCGTTAGTAAATGTGGCTAAAAGTTGAACTGCAACAAAATAATAAGAATGAGGGAAGGTAGTGCATTTCAGCCACATTACAGAGAGAAAATGAAATGAAAAACATGCAATGAATTCTAGGATTGTTGTGGATTGAGCCTTTTGGTTCAACTGTGGAACTGATTGAGGGGAAAAAGTGAAGCTTTATAGAGGGGTGTGTGGCTTTTGTAAGGGAGTTTGCTAGCTTGACAGGAGCAAATGATGGTTGAGGACTAAGAAAGAAAGGAGGAATTTGGTAAGAGAGTAGCCTGGGAGGCTGGGCAGTGATGATTGATTAAAGAGTGAGCCAATGGGAGAATGAAAAAACAGAAGGGCTGGTCTAAAGAGGCATTAGGTTTTTGGAAGTAAAGGAACAGGGTGGAAAAGAAAACAGAAAAGATCTACATATATATATATATATATATATATATGTAGAAGAGAGAAAGAAAGAGAGAGAATGAATGGATAAAAGAGTAAAATAATAAAGGAAAGGCACAACCATTATACTAATTACAAACTAATAATGGGTGCAGAATATGAAAATAAAAATGGCTTTAAACACCAGAGCTAGCCTATAAACTTCCTTATTACTAATTATCAAAAAAAAGTTTCCTTACTACATTATTGTCCAATATAAATAAGCATAAATATATTTTTCACGTTAATAGACAGAAAATGAAAGTGCAAATTCAAGCAACAAATTTGACTAGGAGGTAAACAAAGAGAGATACGTGAGATTTTACCTGTTTTAAGTGTTATGACTATCGAGAGACTGATAAAGAATTTCACAATCCCATTTACTAGTTCCCTTCTTATTAACTCTTATTTCCTTCATCTCAGTATATCACCAGTCACTAATCACAACTCTCATCACGAGTCTAGCTGGATAGAGAAAATCAAAGCTGCAACATGCACTGTCTCTTTTTTTCTTTTTTTTTCAGGTTTAACTCTATTAACAATAAAACGTAAAAGTTTACTTGAGTTAGTAGCTGAGCCATCTACTGAAGAAGGCTCACAAAAATATAAGCAGTTTTCTCTTCCAATCATGTGTGAATATCAAGTCCTATGCCTATCCGCTACTCATTATAATTAAAAAAAAAAAAAGCAACAAAATTATTCTTTAAACACACAACAACAATGAACTTCAGCTAAATGTAACTACGAGTGCTAAACATTTTGACAAACCCAGACCTCAAATAGCGATTATAACTACCAAATGAAGCATTTAAAGGAACCAGATCACCAACAATTAAAAAAAAGAACCCTAAAAGTAATCAAATTCGAAGCATAATCGCATGCAAATAATCAAATTAGATTCATAGAAACCCTAAATATCCAATTTCAAAAGCATAAAATCATAAATTGAATTGATTAGAGAGAAAACGTAAAAAAAAAAAAATATTGTAACCTGCTTAAGTTGACCTCGTTTTTTAGACAAATTAACGATCTGTTCATTTAGAGACTTCCAATCCTTAGCTTCAAAGCACAGCTGCAAAATTTCAGTGACCGCTTTCTTGGTTCCGGCGACATCGCCGGCGAATCGCATCTGCTTCTCAACATTAAGCAACTGGTCGATCGCCGCCTCCAAATTTCCATTTTTACCCTCCTGTAAAATCTCCCAAATAATAATAAAAAAGGGTTAGAACTTGAAGCAGTAGAAGAAAATGGAGATTTCAGATCTGAAAAGAAAAGAGTAAAACAATAATTAGTAGAAAGTTAAGTTTTACCATTGCTTCAGCCTTCATATAACAAAACCAACCCAAAAGAGGGAAACAGAGATGAGTAACTCTGAATTTCCGAATTTGCTTATTTTTGAAAATGATAAAAGAAGAGTCTTATAAAGCCGAACCGGCTTTTTGGTTTTTAAATTCAAGCAAGTCCGGTTTCTTTTTGCGCAAGAAACAAAAAGTAATATAAGGTAAATGAACCAAACAGCCGTATTTATTTGTTTTCAATTCGGATAATATTTGTACATTTTAGTTTGACGCTATTTAAAAAATAATTAAAAAATAAAAATATTTTTATATTAATAGTTTAATAATTAAAAATATATTAAAATTAAATAAAAATATTTTTTATTAATTAAATAATATCTCCAACTTGTATTTTAAAATTTTATTTTAAAGTTTAAGTGTAATGGGTTAGATTTGATCTCTAAGTCTACACGACTTTAGGATTTGAATATGTATTAATATGAGATCTCAGATTTGGTTTCTTTGATATCATGATTTTATCTCACAAAAGATATTTTATATTATAAAAATAATGCAAACTTTTTTATATTTCAGTGATCTCTATTGTCATATAGGATGTGAGATTGGAATACAATACCTACTCTTTTTTGGAACATTTCACGTGACATTCTCGTAATGACCTACCTTTCTCGAAGTGTTTGACGTGGGTTAAACAATCTAGGGCTTGCTCTGATATCATTTGTCACAGATCAATACTCATATACTCATGTGGTTTCAAGACTTAAACATGTATTCATTCAGTGTTTTAAATTAATCTAATTGTTACGGTTCACACTTTTATGAGATATTATTTACTTTGATCTCTTAATTTCAAGATTTTATCTTATAAAATATGTCTTATAAAAAAAAATATGGTGTGAATTTTTTTATATCACAATGATCTTTTTTTTTTATGTCTAATAAAATTAAAGTATCCTATTTACTTTTTTTTTAGAGTGTTTGCTGTGACATAATCACATAGCTAGAGGCCATAAATAGGTTTACCTCCAAAATCGTATGGATACCATAATATTAAAGCTATTTCTGTTGAATTTAAAACTTTTATTAGAAATTTTAGCTATAATTTTTAGACAATTATCACTTACTCTAAATAATGATTTGAGGGTTAATTAAGATATCTAATTATATTTTTGGCAAACTATAAACAAAAAAAAATTATTTTGTGGCAAAAAAAGTATAGAATTATATCAGCTAAGGTTGAATTTGACTTTGTTACTACCTTTAAACTTTTAAAAAGTTTATAATCCATAATAAATTAAAAAATTATACATTAAACCAATTGATTAATAAAAATACAATACTCATAATCTAGCATGAAAAATCAACAAAGAAATTACAATTGTAATATATAAAATACTATATATGTATTTCTTAATTTTGATAATTCTGTCAAAATATATGAAATACTATACATAATATATCATGAAAAATTAACAAAGAAAATCTTCTTCTTCTCTTCATTGTTCAATATCTAAACATTTTTATATGTTCAGTACATCTTTATTACCCTCTTGCATCGAAGCACAGGGTACTTAATAATAATAAAATAATTTATATTTAATGCATTGTTAATGTATAGTGATATACACTATCAAAGCATCACGAATTGCCACATCATTATTAATAAATTCAAATTTTTATAATTTTTAAAAATAAATATTTTTAAAATTTAAATAGTTAATTATATTAAAATAAATAAATGATGTGATGACTTATGATGTATTAATAGTGTATATCATCCATATACTAATAGTAGAAAAAGTCTCCTGTTACCGGGAGTCCTAAGTCTTGTTCCATGCAAGGCATTCCATCTCAAGAACTCACCAGTGATCTTTGGGATTTGTTTTAGTTTTCTATCTTACAGTTTTTTTGTTTTTCAATTTGTTGCTTGTTTTATTTCATTGTTTGGTTTTTTTAGAGGTGTTTTAATCATGACATCGGAGTTAGAAGATTTGTGAACAAAACTTAAATTTATTGAGGAAGAAGAAAACTGTGTAGAATGGATGAAGCAAATGAGGATGCAGGACAAAAGGAAAAGAAACCATGGCTGGTTGGATCTCTGTTAACCAATCGCCATTTTAATAAAGATGTCTTGATAGCAACTTTCAAAGTGGTTTGGAGGCTTGCTAAAGAAGTGGAGGTACAAGTTCGAATCTGAATCTTTTTTTTTTTTTTTCAAGTTTTCATCCATAGGGGATATGTCTAGAGTCCTCGAGGGAGTCCGTGGTCGTTCGATAAACACTTGCTGCTGCTAATCTCGTATGATGGTCAGTTGCGATCAAGCGGATAAAAGTTCCAGCATGCAACTTTTTGGGTGAGAATATATGATCTGCCGCTAGGGTGGTACACAAAGGAGATGGCAATTCGACTTGGCTGCAAAATAGACAATATTTTAAGAATAGACATAGACAAGGAAGGAGAAGGATGGAGATGATTTATAAGAATTCGAGTTGAAGTGGACATCACCAAACCTCTATGGAGTGCAATAATGATACGTCGTTCAACCGAGGGTGATCCATAGTAGGGAACATTGAAGTATGAAAGGCTTCCAAATTTTTGCTATGAATGTGGTCGGTTGGACACACGAACATGGAGTGTGTGGTGGAAAAAGAGGAGTACAACTTTAGAAAACAAGAAAAAGTCAAACAGTGTGGTGACTGGTTTAGAGCATCACCAATAAAATGAAGAGGGGCGAAAGTCCATCTAGGTGGACAAGGAAAATTCATGGCGGTAAACTAGAGGACATGGCAGGACGAGGAAAAAAGGAGCAGTCAGGCCATGGCAAGGGGTAGTAGTATGGCTGATGAGGCAAACAACATCTCATTTTGAAAGGAGACAAATCAGGAGGGGCTGAAATTTTGGCAACTAGAATAGAAGCAACGAAATGTCAAGGAGGAAACTCAGCAATCAAGGACAAAACAACGGGATATTCGGGGATTTCAAAAGGATCTATCATAAAGCATTTAGTGCCAGAAGAAATCTCGAAAGAAAACAAGGTGGATTTAATAAGGCGAGGAGGTGATGACAATACTAAGGAAAGTTTTGATGGAAAAAGTATGGAAAGAAATCATACCCTTTATTGTGATGAAGTTAGCAAAAAAGTAAACATGGGGACAGAGGAGATCAGGGCTTCATCAATTCCTTTTCCAAAGGAAGTAGACGGGATATGTATACAAGAGAGGACCCACGAGCATGCATAAAATAAGGGAGTATGTGTTGCATGCAAAAACAACAAAATGCATGGCAAGTGGAAAAAAGGAGCCCTACAGTTGACACCTAAGAGAGTTATAGAAGTAAAGGGACCAACTAAGAGGAAGGATATGGAATTGTCAGAACAAGTGGATAGTATGGAAGTTGACATGGTGGAGAAAATGTTCAAAGGAGTCAAGGGAGTAGGAGACCAGAAGACACTTTTAATGACGGAGACTTGACCCCTGTCTCGTCTATGACCGTAAAAATATTAGCTTGGAACTGTGGTGGGCTTGGGAACCCATTGATAGTTTGAGCTATGATAAAGCTCATCCAAATTCAAGATCTCGAGTTAGTCTTTCTAAGCGAGATGAAACTTACAATAGCTGAATTCGATAGAGTCAGGAGAAGATGCAATTTGTCGAACTGCTTTATTGTTGATTGCAATGGGAGAAGAGTTGAACTTACTATAATATGGAAAGATGAAGTAGTGCTACAACTAGAAACATGCTCTAAATATCATATTGTTATGGAGTATATAGAGAACAACCAGCAAAAGTAAAGATTGACTAGTTTCTATGGGGAACCAAATACGAATAGGAGGAATGTTTCATGGGAAGTGCTAAAAGGAATAGCCAGCCATTCTTATCTACCTTAGGTTTGTTTAGGGGATTTCAATGAAATTTAGACACTTAAGAGAAAAATGAAGGAAGTATATGACTAGAAAGCAAGATTGAAGCATTTTGAGAAGCTTTGAATGCTTGTCACCTGTTTGATTTGGGTTTCAAAGGACCATGGTTTACTTGGACCAGAGGAAGGAGCATCTTGAACCTGGTACGAGAAAAGTTAGACTGTGCGACAACAACGAAAGAATTGAGCAAACTCCATCCCTATTACTTGGTGAAACACTTAATACATTTCAGGTCAGACCATTGCCTTCAACTCTTATACACGACGGGAAGCAAACAAAGAGATAACAATAGGAGCAAAAATAGAGGGTTTCACTTCGAAACTCTATGGACTAAGGAGGAAGGCTATGATGATGTGATTAGGGACGCGTGGAGTGGTAATGGCCAGGAACTTATAAGGAACAAGTTTCATATGGTAAGCCGAAGGTTGCAAAGATGGAATGATCAACACGTTAGGAATTTTAGGAAGAAGATAACAGTAGCATCCGAACGGCTAGAAAAGTTGAATGACATGCTTGCTAATGAGAAAACTATGGTGGAAGAAAGGGCTGTTAGGAAAGAACTTGATGACCTGCTGGTAAAGGAGGAAATCTGCTGGAGACAAAGGGCAAAGGTGGACTGGCTGAGAGAAGGTGACAAAAATACAAGTTTTTTTCCATGCTCAGGTTTCTAATAGAAGAAGGAAGAACTTAGTTACAGGTTTAGAGGATGATTATGGTGTGTGGTGGGAAGATGAAGAATGCATAGAAAATATTGCAACAAACTATTTCAAGAGCATGTTCGAATCCCATGAATCACATAACATTAGTACTATTCTTGAAGCTGTGGAATGTCGAGTTATGGACGAGATGAATAGACTCTTGCTAGTGAAATTCCAACCAGATGAAATAAAGTTTGCTCTCAAACTGATGCACCTAACAAAATCTCCAGGGCCTGACGGTATGCTTACTCTTTTTTACCAAAAATATTGGCATATTATAGGTGATGATATAATTTCATTTTGTTTAAATATTCTTAACGGTAGTCAATCTGTTCATTTACTGAATGAAACCTACATTGTCCTGATCCCGAAGCTCAGAAACCCAAAAAATATGACCCATTTATAACCCATTAGCCTTTGCAATGTCCTCTATAAATTGATCTCCAAAGTCGTGGTCAATAGAATGAAACATATTCTTCCTAAATGCATTAGTGAGTTTCAGAGTGCGTTTGTGCCTGGTAGATTAATTACTAATAATGTCTTGATTGCCTATGAACTATTACATAGTCCGAAGAACAAAAGAAAAGG